CATCATTTTATTTTGGGTGCCACGCTGCTGCTGCCTCTGCCCTTAGTGCCACTGACATATCTCTTGCAGCCCGTGGCCCCAGAGCCAGAACTCGAACCCGTAGCACCAGTTCAAGAACCTCCAGTACCTCCCCCCGAGCCAGTTCAAGAACCGGAACCACAGCCTGAGGTACACCAGCCGTCTCCCGCTTCGCTGCTCTCGCTCATGTTCTCTTGTCTCTTCTAACTCCTTTTTTCCCCTTTTCTCTTAGTCTATTTCTCTTATTTTTTTTATCTATCTGTCTGTCTCCTTCTGCGCTCTCGTGTTCCTCATGGGATTCATCCTGATCATCATCTGTTGGGCGCTCGGAGGTCGGGTTCCTCTGTTCCGTGGGGTCTCGTCTTCGCTTCTCGATTTCTCTTGTTCTTGTTCTGTTTCTCAGTTTATGTTTTTTGTGTGTCTTGTTGCCTACGCCTCTCTCTCTCTCTCTCTCTCTCTCTCTCTCTCTCTCTCTCTCTCTCTCTCTCTCTCTCTCTCTCTCTCTCTCTCTCTCTCTCTCTCTCTCTCTCGACGCTGTTCTTACTCACCTTCTGATCGACCTGCCAGGCAAAAAAGAATAGAAACAAGGTCCACACTTAGTCTCTGGATCGAGATCTCGCTCTGCATAACCACCGCATGACTGGCTGGTGCATGATATTTTCATCTGGAGGATACTCATTTCTCGTCGCCGGGGTCATGAAGCTCTCTACGAACGCCTCTCTTCACCTTCAGCTCTTCCATTAAACTCATGACAACGGCTGTTCTCCTTGCATGAGTCATGACGTTGCTGTCTTTCGTTGCACTGCAAAGGGAAGGTCTCGACACGGTAGCAGGCTGACGGACTCGACCCCACACAGAGTCTTTTGCTGTTTTCACGTGGTTGTTTCTCGTCTCTTCATATGTCGGTGTCTCAGCTGCCGTTGCCGCTGCTCTCCTTGTGGGCAGCTCTAATTGCTTATAATTTTTATTACGATTTATTTCATTTTTCCCACTTCAATTATCTGTCTAGATTTTTTTGGCTAGTAGTTTTAGTCACTCATTTGTAGTCTCTCTTCTCTCTAATTACTAGAATAATACCTTAAATAATCATGATAATTCTTCAAAAGCTCAGCTCGTTATTAACTATACATTAAGCACTTAATACCTGAATCATTTTATCAGTTGCTTCTTATAACAAAATTTAAACGTTTATTTTTATTTATCCTCTTTTGTAATCATCATTTTTGTGTTTCCCCTGATAATTTTGCGCCAACACCGCGAGGTCTCTCACCTCAAGTAATTAACACACCTGAAGCTTCGAATCACCCTGTATGAGGGAGACAAGTGAGTGAGTCTTGAGGTATGAGGTTGAAGGAGGTAGAAGGAGATAGGAGGAAATAGGTGGAGGAAACGAGATGAGGAGAATAGGTGAGAGTCCTTCGCGTCGTTGTTGCCTGTTGCACACTGACGGGCTCGCCTCTGCCACTTGCAGCCTGCAGCCGAGCCCGAGCCAGCAGCCCCTGTTTCTGAGCCCGTCGTGGAATCTGCCCCCGCCCCCGCGCCCGTCGAGGCCGAACCCGAACCCGCACCCGCACCCGCGCCTGAGGTATAACTCGGTTGTGAGTAAAGCCATCCGGAGCGCCACCCCCTACGCCCTCTCGCTCGCCCTTGGCCAGACGCCTGCTCCGTGAGGCGCGGTGTTCACAGGCCGGCAGCGAGCGCCCTCCCGTGGCCTCCGTTTGAGCCCAGTGATCACGGCGAATCCTGGAGGAGGACGCGGTCGGAGGCGCTGACGAGGGACGTAGGGGGCGCCCGGTGTGCTCTTCCCCCCCCCCTCTGTGCACGAATAGCCCGGCCACACCATAGGGAGGGCCACGCACACGCTTACACGCACACATGTACACTTGCCGCGCGACACGAAAGTGGTTCCTCCTCAGCCACACCGACACTTGTTAGCTGTCAGAACGAGAGGATAAATCAATGTACAAATTGTTTAGTTAATTAGAGATTGTGCTCGTATCTCACTATGGTATAATTATGTAAATTCTATGCCTATTGGTTATATGTTTATAATTATTCCTTTTGCAATTCACTGTGTAAATAATCATATTTCAGTTATCTAATTTCAAATCTAAATTCATGCATGAGCAAATATAGTGAAGACCTATTGAGTTTTTACACACACGCGCATGTACGCACACGCATTCGCTCACGGACAAGTCGGACATGTACGCATTCATACACGCCCACCATCTCATAACGCACACGCACACGCACACGCACACGCACACGTACACGTACACGTACACGCACACGCACACGCACACGCACACGCACACGCACACGCACACACACACACACACACACACACACACACACACACACACACACACACACACACACACACACACACGTACACACACACACACGTACACGCACGCACACGTACACACACACACACGTACACGCACGCACACTACACGACACGCACACGCACGTGGATACACACACCGCGACTACTCAGAGTAATGTATTTAGTGAGGGAGCAACAGGATGGCAACGGTATCTCCCGATATGATGACGTAGTAGGTGTAAATAGTGTTTTTTCCGGCGGCGGAAGACTGCTTGGCACTGGCACCGGGCGGAGTGCCAGGGTGCCCTCTAGTGCCTGCGCCCAGGTAATGTGTGTCGTCCCGTCCCTTGCATGTCCAGGTCATCCTCCACTGTGTGTTGTTTGTAGTGTAGCCATGTAGCCACGCCCGTTGGGTGACCCGCTTCGGGGTCCTTGCAGGCTGAGCCCGAGCAAGAATCTGCTCCCGCCGCTGAGGAAGAAGCGCACATTGCAGACGAAGCTCCCGCTGAACCGGAGACTGAACCGGAAGCTGAACCGGTACCCGAGGAAGCTGAACCGGTACCCGAAGAAGCTGAACCGGTACCCGAGGCTATAGTAGAGCCAGAACCCGAAATTGAGACGGCCACTGAGCCGGAAACAAAGGCTAGTCCAGAGCCAGAACCCGTTGTAGAACCGGAGCCAGAACCTGAAGCGGCAGAAACCGCGGCTGAGGCCGAACCTATCGTAGAACCGGAGCCCGAACCCGAGGCAGAAGAGCCCGCAGTAGAACCCGAGGCCGTCGCCGAAGAGGCCGCCCCCCCCGCGCCCGAGCGCGTCTCTCCCGTGATCGAGGTACAGTTGCGCATGCCCCTTGCGCATGGCAGTGGCTGGGCCAGTGCCACGCTCCATAGCTCAGAGATCACACACACGCTGCTGCATACAGTAATGCTTGCTCTCTTTAGTTCTCTTGTCAAGTTCTTTTCTTTGCAATCATTTAGTTCCTGTGGTGACAGTGGTAGTAGTGACCAAGGACCGCTACTAACCCCGCTCAGAGAACCAGGATGATGATGACGTTCCATTAGTTTTGCCGGAGAGATTTCCGTTGAATAGCGAGTGTTGGCCCACGCCATGTCCCGCCTCTTAGGGGCCGGTGTCCCTCGCCCTCGTGTCCGGCGTAGGGACACCGGCCCGTCAGGTGACCGTGTGTATCCAAAGCTAACTGGTTTTCTCACCGTTGCAGCCGGCGCCGGCCCCTGCTCCTGCCCCTGCTCCTGCCCCTGCCCCTGTTCAGGCCCCAGCAGCGCCCATGGCGGCCCCTCCACCATCCTTCCAGCCCGTCAAGGCCCCGGCGGCTCCCGCTCCGCAGAAGCCCTTCGGTGCTCCTGCAGGAAGCGTGGATGTGCGCTCGCACATTCCCAAGAAAGGTACTGTAGATTTAAGTGTGCATGCTCTCGTTTATGTTATTTGATGTCAATATCATTTGGGGATTCAGAGTGTAAAAAACATTTATTTATGTATCTTTTCTTAAAAATAATTGGCTTTAGATGAATTGATATAAAAAGTAAATATGGGAAAGGGGAGAACAGAATTAGACAGAGCAACAACCCCGTATTCAGCATCTGCATAAGATGAAAAATGTATATGTAAGGAATGTTACAGATGTAAAGTTGTGAGACAAATCACATACCAATCTTTCTCACTTTCATATATTGATGTGTTTTGCACTGTAACTCTGTAGTAGACACAGTAATCATCATGTAAGAAGACCATATACCATGTCAGTATTGTACCTGGACAGTCGAATACCGTCACCGGCACCCACAGCATATTACGATGAAATCCAATACGATATTCCGTCACTTAAGAATTGTCAAAGATAGACTCCAACCTCTCACTTAAGTACGTCCGCGAGCCAGGCATCCAAAGGCTTCCACTGACAGAGGGTTCCGGTCAGAAATAACGACTGTCACGTGATTAGTGGCTGTTTGGTTATGATAGCGAGGATCTTCTGGGATGACTGCCAAGACGTGTGGTGCTCGAGGGGGAGGAACATAGATGCGTCTAAACTTTCTCTCTCGTTTTAGTTCTTGTGTTCTAGATTGATGTGAAAAAAAATGTAATTGTTGTTGTAACCCGGATTATTTCTTGATGTGAGGAGGAGACTGATTAAGAACGTAAGTCATTAGAGTTGTTTGAAAGGTCGTCATGTGATCTCCTTGGCTTGTTTATCTCCATCTGGGAAAGAACGGAAGCTCAGTCGTGACACACTAATCCCCGTACCCTCGAGTGTGTATTAATAACTTGGCGTTCGAAGCGGTGCGCAAAAAAAATGAAACGGACTTCTAAAAAAAATAATAAAATAAAATAAAAGCATGGGGTAAAGCATTCTCTAAGAAAGTCAAGTAAAGACGAATACCAGTAAATCACCTGCATGTCTATGATTAAAATTCGCCTATTACTCTGCCACATAACGAGAGGAGGTGTTTTACAGATGGGGGCAAGGAGAGAGAAAGACATGGATGGTGAGGATGAAGAGAAGGAGGGGGAGGAGGAGAAGGGGGAGGAGGAGGAAGAGGAGGAGGAGGAAGAGGAGGAGGAGGAAGAGGAGGAGGAGAAGGAGAAGGAGAAGGAGTTTAAGAAGGAGAGAGAGAAGGAGAAAAGAAAAAGAAGAAGAAAAAGAAGAGAAGGAAGAGAGGGAGAAGGACGAGGAGGAAGTGTTGACCGCCGCCAAAAGCCCCAAGGCACGCAAGGCCGCTGGCGCCAGAGGCCTGTCCACTTGACAACTTCATCTGTGACCTTCCTACACTTGACAGCTTGCATTACGCGGAGACGAGTGCTCGGTGACATTGTCAATGCTATTCTGTAAATAGAACTTTAGGGTATACTCTCGTGTTCTGAGAGGTGGATATTTTGTTCTGTCTAGTTCTGCCCTCTGTGTACAAAGGGTTGACATTAGGAATGTTAAGTTTAAGACTGTGAAAGTAGATTTGATTTAAGTTTTGCCCATGTACTGTATTCTCTTTTGGTAGTCATTTCTTCATAAGCATGATATTTATTTAAGTATTGTATTTATATATATTGTCTTGTGTATTGAGATATTTATTTCATACTAAAGGCAGTGATTAGTATATGTACATTTATACATGCGTGAATATGTGTGTATTTGTTTGTGTATATATAACACAGTATGTGTGTGTGTGTGTGTGTGTGTGTGTGTGTGTGTGTGTGTGTGTGTGTGTGTGTGTGTGTGTGTGTTTGTGTGTGTGTGTGTGTGTGTGTGTGTGTGTGTGTGTGTGTGTGTGTGTGTGTGTGTGTGTGTGTGTGTGTGTGTGTGTGTGTGTGTGTGTGTGTGTGTGCGAGTGTGTGTACGTGTGTGCATGTGTATGTGTGTAAGTGCGTGTATGTATGTATGCATGTGTGTGGACACAGAAATACATACACTGCCTACGCACTTGTATATATACGTGTAAGTATGATTGTGTGTGTGTATGACTGTATGTATATCTAAATCTATTCACATATATATACAAACATCACACATCCTCAATATGTCGCTTTTTGTTTAACATACTGTTTGTGTATTAATGATATGGTATTAGTTTTATCTATTAATTATTTTTGTGTTTCTATGTAGTATGGATTGTATGGCTGAAAAAAATATTTTCAAATGGATTGTTAATCAATAACTATTTTAGAATTAGTTGCACAAATCCAGTTGTGGTTTAATGTTGTGAGTTTAATAAAAAGTTTCCTCTTGATTTAATGTATATTATTAGTTTAGCCATGGTAATCATTAGCTTCAGTTACAAAATTGCATTAGTGATTGCCATTATCCACGTAAAGAAAACGAGCACAAGTAGTTGATTAGTGTAGTTACCCCCTAAAATAAACATTTTCTTTGGTAAAAAAGACAGATATGTAGAAAACATAAACATTTACTTTTCAACATAAACTAAACCAAATTAAAATGAACTCGCTTTTTACGTATCTTGAACGATACGTATAAACAGAGATATATATAAAAAACATATTTAATGCTATTACTGGATTTGTACACAACTATAGTTATCTAAAATTGATGTTATGAGAGTATGTCAAGAGTTTTGTGAGCGTTTAAAGCATCAGGGCCGTCCCAGAGATGGCCCAATGTGGGGTGGGATGCTGCACACAAGTTCGACATCTCGGCTGCCCCATCTCCGTCACACTTCTCCTCAGCATTGTTATATCTGGTTAGAAAAAGTGGATGTGGATAGATTTCAAAGGTAAAGTAATTTTAGTAAATTCCCCCTAAAAATAACCACCACAACAACAAATGAGTAAAGAAGCAGAAGCTAGAGACGGCAACTGGATGGCGAACCGACACTTGTGTAAGCACCCCGCTGCCGCTGGATTTGCTGCTGCTGGAGTTCCGCTGGAGCTAACCCTCCCCCCCCCAAAAACCCCTTCCCTCCCGAGTCTGTCCCTCGTCTCCAGTTCTTGAGTCCGGGTCCAGGACGCGTTCTGGCCCTCTGTCCTCTATTGGCCCTTGGAATTAAGGGGTTTTGACAGCACGATTCGCCTTTTTCCTCCGTCGCCCGAGCCCCTAAACCCCCCCCCCCCACTCCGCTTCCCCCTCGCCCTAAACTCTCTCCCCCACTCTTCTTCAACCCCTCCCCCCCTTCTCCTCCCTCACACCCACGATTCTTCAGTAACGACTGACTCATTTGCTGTTAACCCACTAGCTATCTTACTCACATTTACCCTTAGACTCGTTCTCTCTCTCGAAGCCCACAGAGCTTTGTTTTTTTCTGATCCTCCAGGCCAGTGCATGAGCCTCACTGTGAGGGAGCCTTACCAGACATTTTTTTTTGGACGGAGGAATAATTATTTTTTTGTGACCAGTTTTTTGGATTTTTTCTCTAAATAAAGCACACTTTTTGACGCTTTCACATAAAATATTAATCTTAATTTTGCCTCAGTTTGGAAATGTAATAACCAAAATTGGGTGGTCCAAGATGTGAAATTAAGTGCATGTTATTTTGGGTTGTGGCGACATGCAGATACCTTGCGAAATCACTGATGCACGCGCGTTGTTTTTTTCTATTTTCTTTTTCCTTTTTCCTCATTTTATTTTCTCTTTTCTCTATCTCCTCTTTCTTTTGTTCTTTCTTTCTTTCTTGATTTTCGCTTCTTGGTTTTGACTTGTCGGACTGCCGTAATTATTAAAACCAAAAAAAAAAGAAGAAAATAATTATAACAATAATAATAAGATTAAATGCTGGACCGATGCCTTCCGGAAGTATGACTTCTAATGTAGGGGTTTCCCTTTTTTCTTTCCCCGATCCCCGTTTTCTGTCTGGTACGGTCCTCCCATCCTCTCCCCTTTGCTTTTGACTCCTCTCTCGCCCTCTGTTTATATTTTAACTTCCTTTTTTATCTTACGTTGATTTGTCTGATTCCAACCTTTTCATTTTGTTAAATTTTATTTCTTCCTCTCCTCCACCTCCTCCATCTCCCTCCGTCGTACTGCTATATGCTTTTATTATTATTATTTTACCTGTTTTATGATTTCATTATCGGTCTTACTATTATTACTACCTTTTCACCCATGTGCCCTTGAACTGCTATTCCTAATTCATTCTCGCTCTCTCTTGTTTGTCCTTTTTGGATAAATGGTGCATCTCTTTTTTTCTTTCTGTTTCACTTAACCGGCGATTTATTGGGAACTGATAACGTATGATCTTTCTTATCAACACAACTCTAATGGTTTATTTATCCTTTATAATACTGATCTTCTATCTGCTATCATTGACATTAAATGGCCATATTTTTTGGGCATACTTCCGCTGCATTTACCTCGACCTTCGATCTCTTTTTTCATTTCCCTCCTTATCCGAATCCTCCGGAAACAAAAAATAAATGTGGTAATTGATCATCTGGGTATACTTTGCTCCTTCTTTGGTCACAATTCGTAAAATAACTATGCCGGAAACAAAAAACAAAAACGCAAAAAAACAAAAAACAAACTCACTGGCTCCCACTCGCCGGCCTGGGACCTCCCCCCCCCCCGCTCTCGTGCTCTCGGGGACTCCTTATAAAAGGTGCTCCGTTTGTGTGGCCGCCGCCTAAGATGGTTGAAGTGGTGGAGGAGGGGCCCCGCCCGCCTGCTTGGGCGCCGTCAGGGGATCCCACGCAAGTCCCTAGACCAAGGCATGTCGGTGGGCCCCCCCCTAAGAGGCCTCCCCTCTTGCCCACCCCGCCCCCTCCCAAAGATTACGACACCATTGTCATTAAGGCTTCCCCTCCCGCCCAGCACCCTTCTGAGCCCGCCCCCGCTCCCCCCGCTTCCGCCCCCGCGCCCGCCCCCGCTCCCAAGCCTGCTCCTGCCCCTGCTCCCGCCCCCGCTCCCGCTCCCGCTGCTGCTGCTGCTGCCCCTAGTGCCGCCAAAGCTAAGCCTGGCAAAATAGAGCCCCCGAAGCCGGTTCCCGTGACAGAGCCGATGCCGACCGTGAACCTGTCCTCCGCCCCCGCCGCGCCCGCCTCTAAGCCGGTGCCCTCGGGCCCGAGCGTGCAAAAGCTGACCGATGCCAAGCCTGACAAGCCAGCGCCCGCTAAGGGTATCCCCGGCTTTAAGCATGTTAGTTCGCCCAAGGCCGCTCCCAAGGCCCCGACCTCCAGTCCCGGCTTTAAGCCTGTTGCGCCTCCCAAGGGCGGCCCCGCGCCCGGGGCGCCCTCCGTGCTCGCTGCCAAACCCATCTCCCCCCCTGTCTCTGTCCCCATTGTGAACGCTGCCCCTGCTCCCGCTCCTGCCCCTGCTCCTGCCCCTGCCCCCGCCCCCGCTCCTGCCCCTCTTCCTGTCCCTGCCCCCGCTCCTGCCCCTGCCCCTGCCCCCGCTCCTGCTCCCGCCCCCGCTCCGGCTCCAGCTCCAGCTCCTGTGCCAAAACCTGCAGCCCCCAGGCCCCCCGCTCCAACAGGCCCCGCCCCCGCCCCGGCTCCGGCCCCGGCCCCCGCGATGGGTGGCATGCCCAAGCCCACGCCCGTGCCAGGCATGGGCGGGCCGACCAAGGGCGTGCCCCAGACCAGCGGTCAGAAGAGCGCCCCCCGCCGAGGCCGCGGTGTGATGAACCAGGCCGCCAGCACCAGGATTCCCGTCTGCTCCGACTGCATGCGCCAGATCAGGTAGGAGCGAGCTGCCCACGCCCGCGCCCCCGCCCGTTCGTTGCCTTCGTGGCGTCGTAGTTGAGGCATGCTGTGTGTTCTCGTTGTCATTTCTTTGTCCTTCGTGGCCAGGCACTGTGACGCCCGCTGCCACCGCCGCCAAGGAGCGCCCCTCCTGCCAGGGATGCAGGTCCCCCATCAGGTAATGCTAACTGTCCCTCAAGGATTAACGCTGTGAGTAGGACACGCGCAAACATACGTACACGCACACACACAAACACGTACATGCTTACACACAGACATACATACATGCACACACACAGACATACATACATGCACACACACAGACATACATACATGGACAGACACAGATATACATACACGCACACATACAAACGTACATACACACACACACAAACATACATATTCACTGAAATACTGACTGTAAATCATTCACTTAATGAATCATATTTACAATAAAAACGTCCAGATCACATACATTCACTAAAATAAAATACTTAAGAAAACACTTAAGAAAACAGTTTTAGTTATTTTGTGTATATATTCAAAGGAACGATATCTTGATTTTAAGGCTTAATACATGCACAATGCTTATGTTTCTTTTCGTAATTCAAGTAAAAAAAAAAATTCCCAATAGTTATTTCGTCTTGATCAAGATTTAGTACCCTCTGTGTATTTTTTGTTTCTTTTATGTGAGTGATTTTTCGTTGGAATGTTCTGTAAAGTGTTAACACCTTTGGCATGAAAATTACCTTCTTGTATATGATTTGTAAATATATATGTACGTGTACGTCTGTGTGTTCGTCGTTAGATCTACGTAAAAAAAAAAAAATCTTGTCATATATAATTTCCTCAAAAAAGAGAAAAAAGTTGATTTGACTAAAAGAAAAAAAAATCCTCATGAAAAAACACTCAGAACAAAAGACCTCTGAAATGAATAAATAATTGAAATAAATAAATAAATCGAGGAAAGAAAAATCTCCCCGTGTCCTAAAAGCTCTTCTGCGTCGCCAGGGGGCCCTTCGTGTCCGCCCTGGGTAAGACCTGGTGCCCCGACCACTTCGTCTGCTCCACCGACACCTGCCGTAAGCCCCTCATCGACATGGGCTTCGTCGAGGAACAGGGCTCACTCTACTGCGAGAACTGCTACGAACAATACTTCGCCCCGATCTGCGGCAAGTGCGACAAGAGGGTGAAGGGTGTAAGTGTGCCTTGAGGTTTTCGTTAAGTGTTTGTTTACGTGTTGATTGAGTGTTTATTTCAAGGTTGGGTTTTAAAAGGGTTCTTTTAGTGTCTATTCAAGTGTTTATTTGAAGGTTGGTTTTTAAAAGGGTTATTTTAGTGTTTATTTAAGTTTTTTTTATTAAGGTTCATTCGTACTTGGCTTGGGAAGTAGAGAGGAATTAGTCGGTATTTGGTTCAAGTAATATTTTCTTTTCAATATACCTCCGTAATATACCTCACGAATATACCCTATTGATTTCCTTTATTATAGAAAAAAGGCACAAGAACTAGACAATTAAATACAGATACCAGATAAAACCAAACCAGATATGTGGATTAATCTCATCACCCGTCCACCCTCTTCTTCCAGGATTGCCTGAACGCAGTCGGCAAGCAGTTCCATCCTGAGTGCTTCTGCTGCGCCTACTGCGGAAAGGTGTTCGGTTCTGGCGCCTTCTATCTCGAGGACGGCTTGCCCTACTGCGAGGCCGGTGAGTGCGAATTTGCTATGTCATTTTTATCTTTTATTCATGTAGGGCAATCTAGTTTTATTAGAATTCATTACTTTGCTGGTCTTCATTTGCCACGAGATTATATAACATTATGTAAAATTGTTTTAAATCTAATGCTAATACGATTATACCGTCGCTGTAACAGAATGCTGATTATATTTCTTCTCTAATGTCGAGTCGCAGTCTGACAAATGTTTGGTAAAAAAATATGAAGATTATAAGTTCTGTCAGAGTTTAAGGCAGATCATATAGCTAGTCTGGACAAGGGTTAAGAGTAGAACCGTCCCTGAACACCCTTAGGTTAGCCCGCCTCTCAACGACCCAACTTAAGATATCCTTTCTCTAAGTGACCCATGTTTAATCTACCCCACCTCTCAGCGACTCATACTTAAGGCATCCTCTCTGAACGACCCACACTTAAGTTCTCCGCTCTCAACGACCCGTAATTAAGTTATCCCATCTCTTAACGACCCATACTTCAGTCATGCCATTTCTCAACGACCCATACTTCTTGCAGATTGGAACGACCTATTCACGACGAAGTGCGTGGGTTGTGGGTTCCCGATTGAAGCAGGTGACCGATGGGTTGAAGCTCTCAACAACAACTACCACAGCCAGTGCTTCAAATGCTCTGTAAGTGTCTCCTTCTCTCTCCCTTTCCCATTTCTCCCCCTTTTTTGTTTGTTGCATATTTTGAGAGCATGAGAATAACTCCTTTTTTTATCTAGATTTCCCTCATTTGTTTCATCTTTGTGATTTGTTATATTTGTTTTTAAATTTTCTTTGATTGATTTTTTATTATTATTATTATTATTGCGTTGGGATTTCCATTGTTGTCATTTACGATAAATAAGCATGAGAATTTGATTGGTAGGTAGGAAGATCTATTGTGAATCATGATGTGAAATATACATATAATTTGTGATGGATTGCCGAAGTTAATTCACAAAAAGTGTGGTAGATAATTTGACTTTGTTTTTGAATTTGAAGAGAATGAATGTTTGCCAAAACCACCTATGCATGTGCCAATACACATACCCTTATGATAATATGTGATCCTTATTATAACATCTTTTGGTCAAAGTGCACGTGCTCGTATCCAAAATCACCTTCCATATTCCCAATCAAAAAAATCACCCCCCCCTCAAAAAAAAATGCAAATCCTACTTTTTAACGTGTTTTCCGTCCACTCCCCCCGTCCTTCCACAGGTGTGCAAGTCCAACCTTGAGGGCAAGAGCTTCTATGCCAAGAACGGCCGGCCTTTCTGCAAGTCCCACGCAGGCCGTTAGATATATATATAAAAAAAAAACAACAACAAAATATATATGTATAAAGCTCCGGTTCGAAACCACCTCGTCTCACTTGGTGCTTGTGTGTTCCTCCTTCCTGGACCTTATTCCTGAATCGACCTTTTCGTGCTCATTGGCTATGTTTTTTTTATATTATTGTTCTTGTATTGAATGCCCTTCTCTTTGGATTAGGCCATGTGTTTATTTATTCATTCACGCATTCTTCTCTCTTTTTTTTATTATTTATATGTATATCTCTCTCTCTCTGTTGACATAGGGAGGTTTTCTTTTTTTTCAATATTATGTATTTATATGTGCATGGGTGTATATCCATCACGAGCTGGGTCAGTGGCTGGTGTCGCCCGCGTGGTCGATGCAGCTGACTGGTCGCTATAGAAAGGGTTAAAGGTAGATTCCGGAATCTGGCCAATTTTCTTAGAGAGCTTCTAGAAAGAATTTCCCGACTAGATTTTTATTTCGTTTGTTCTGGTGAACGAACTGTTTTATTATTATTTTTTTGTGTTTAAAGTTAGTGGACAATAACTTTTGTAGAGTACGTGTCTCTTCCTCTTTTAGTTGAGTTAATAGTCTCCAAGAAGTGATCGTTTTCTCACAACTAGCTAATTAGCTAATCAAATAGTCTTAATCCTAGCTTGTGAGACAATCAGATACACTAGCATTACCAAGATAATGGTCATGGCTGCAGATACTCTGACACCACAGAGATTAGAAAAAAAAACATAAAAATAAAATAAAAACAAAAAATAACAAAAAAACAAAAGAAGCCTTGCACCTTATTTGCTCTTTTGTGGGTTTGACTCATGCACTAAACTTTATTTTTATTTCATATTTATTTATTTTTTACTCTCACCACTCTTGCTCTGTCTCACCGGTACAGGAGGTGGCTGGAGGCCTTTTGGGCGACACTCACATCTCTAAACAATTTTTTTTTTTTTTTGCTCCAGCACACTACTCTTTTTTATCTCTGCCTCACACTCTCACTCACTCTCCTCACGCTCATTTCACAAGCCCTTCCAGTGAAAGATAAAGATAAAACATGTATAGAAGCTCAGTAGGTGCAGCACACCATTAACCAGGGATTCTCAGTCCTTCGTAGTTTGCTTAACCGGAGTAGTAACTAGCCTCTAACCTGCAGAAATGCCACAAGAACCTGGAGGGCCAGAGTTTCTTCGCCAAAGGTGGAAAGCCTTTCTGCAAGGCCCATGCCCAACGTGGCTTCTAAGGCGGCCCAAACAGCACGCAGGTCCCTCCTGTGTCCCCCTGAGGAGACAGGGCGAGGGCCTGTCGTCCTCTCACCAGCAACAGAAACGAGGATGGAAAAGAGAGAAAAAGAAAGAGTCTCAAGCAGCGGCAGTGAGCGTTGTGGCCCTCGCGAGTGCCATCGGCATCACTATCACCAGCGACGAAAAGAAGCACCAGTCTGCAGCACCAGGAGGAGGAGAAGGAGGAGGAAGAGGAGGGCGAGGACGAGAGCCGCCTCCAGCGAACGTCGACACTCCCTGCCTACTGTCTCCTTGTTACGCTCTGTTTGTTTACATTAACTGTGCTACTCACATTGGCTAATTGTTGGTGCAAGATTACAGTGCAGGTTTGCAATCGTTCTGTTGCAATTATTTATTGTCCAAAACTTATGTAAAGAAAGGCAATTAGTCAGCCTTTTGACTCTTGTGTGTAAAGATAATGGTGCTTGCAATCACCAGTGATAAGAAAGTCAGTGCCTTGATTTTATCACATTAATCTATATAGAATAAGAATATATAAGCTTTACTGCTTAGTTTAAGGTACACTCAGCCTATGCAGACACACAACCACAAAAGGATTGATATTCTTTGTATTATTATTATTTCCAACGACTCTTCCTTTGCTTCAGCTGTTTTTCAGATCACTGCTGTTTACTGTACTATAGAGAGAGGTATATGAATTGTAGAGAACAGAATATTGTTACTCATATGCTATTATTGTATATATGAATTTCACGAAACAAAACCTGTCTGACTAGACACACTAAGGACACCATGTCAACCAATCTAGCGATACGATTTTAACTCGGCTATGCTTGCTTAATCTTCCTGAACGCTGTGTGTTCTTCTGTCCCAACTACTTCTCGTGTCATCTTTTTTTTTTTTTTTTGCTGTTCACACGCACCATTGTCAGTCTTCCTGAAGTCACGAACTCCAAATCTCTCTCGGACGCCAGTGCTTGCTTAAGGGCCACCCTGGAAAGGACGACTTGTGACCCTGTAGCAAACCGAGCCTACGACAAAGTAACACCTCTGTAGATTTTGTGTTTTTTTCTATTCAAGAAGGCTGAACATCGAAAACAAAAACCAAAAAAAAAAAAATCTTCAAAAAAAATAATAATATTGTCTAATATTCGGCGTAAATTCTGTTGCGTGTTTCTTGATCTTCCAATTATGTCTGACCCCTTCTTTCCCAGGGGGATTATAAAAAAAATAGACATATTGTA